CTGAAATACTATGACAAATATGGAAAGGACAGATGAATGGCACCAAAATCGAAGAGAACTGTCAAAGGTTTAAATAAACTAAATGTATTGCATTCAATGTAAGCCTCTAGAAATTTAACTGCCACAGAAATTTAACTATGGGCAGTAAAGCTGCATGAGCACAGTCACATTTGGAAAGTTTAAGTACCACAGAAAGACTCTTCCAAGAGTTTCTTTTATTTATTATTTTTAATTCCTTGGACTTATGCAGCTTCATGACAACAGACCAGAAAAGGATTAATGAAATAAGTCTATACATATTTATAAATTGATTTTATTTATGCAATAATTTTGGAAAAAAAAATCAACTCAACTTGGAACTGCCAGGTTAGAGCTACAAAGAGGGAAATAAAGTGCCCCAGTGATTTACAGCTTAATGCATTCCTCAATTCAATTAACATATCAGCTTCTTGCAAAATATCTGATATATCCAAAGATTTAACAGGGGCATCTCCTGCATTTCTTTTTTTAGCTGTCCATTTTAGTTCTTTGTTCTATTGAGCTTTTTGGTACAAAGCACGTAGTACACAGAACAATGCAATTCCATATCCAGTGGGCTCTCAAAATCCACATGGGTATTTCCTTCTCTGATATTCAGTTGGGGTTAAAGTCTAAAAAGGCTAGGGTCAGAACCATCTGGAATCCTAGATAATGAATGAATCTCAGGGAACTTTCTACATGTGTTTTTCATTTTTATAATAAGCTAATAAACTAAATAAACCCTGCTTTCCCACATTTCAATAGGTATTGGTAAGGGAAATGTTTACAATATATATCGTGTTTTCTATTAAGCTAGTACTTTACAACATGGGAAGAAATGAGAAGAAGGAATAGGTAACTTGTCATCTTTTAAAATGATAAAACTATAGTAGTAATTATATTTGAAGTTAAGATGAATCAAACCCCACAATCTCTTCCTCCTTCAACATACCTATTTTAATAGGATTTTTCCATTTTGGGAGGGAAGTGTTTCAAGATGACCAATAAAAGAAGAAAGGAATTATTCTTTTGTCATCAGTTCCATTGTAGGTACTAAGATTTTCTATTTACAACACTGCTTCTTTTATCAGGAATGATACTCGGTACATCTCAGAATGATTAGGTGGAGGTCCTCAACCACAAACTTACAAGTTGCTGTACTTTTGCTTTCTAAATAATTACCTGGAATTTATAAAGTGACCCTACCTTTGCTACTACTCAGCAAGTAATCAGAGATTTAATATGAAAGTGGGCAGCATTTAAATGATTTTATGAGTTAGAGAATTTAAGTCCTGGGAAAAGAAGTTATATACCTCCCCAAAACACCTGGTTTAATCATTTTTCCATTGCTGAACCATTTGTGTTCAAAGATAACACTGTTTATTAACAAGATAATTGACAGTTATTCTCCCTCAAGATTTTCTAAATATCCTACTTTCTTCCTGATTATTCCTTCACAGAAGAATCAAAAATATTTGTCATGGAAAACATCAGCACCATATTAGTCAGATGCCATTCCCTAGGCCTTGGTAGTTTCATTCCGAGCTGCTTTGTTCCTGGCCTCTTCCTTTACAAACGAAAGTGCCTAGGAAACTGGTACCCCGTAAGCACTGCCATTATGATAAGAACATGAGCTATGTTTATAAAGGAAACATGACCAGATACCCATTCCGGTTTAATAAGATAATTGAGAATTACCTCACTCAAGGTGTTCAATGACCAATAAATGTTTGGATGATGGCCAGTGGCCTCTAAATATATGGGCATTTGATGATGAAATGATGTTTGGCTGTTTCCCAGAAACAAAAAAAATAAAAAAAGAGCTGAGTTATTTTTTCCTCCCTTTCTCTGTGCATGGCATAAGGCTAAGCATGAGTTAAAGCAAGGTTGGGTGAGGGACAATCTGTAATCATTTGGGTAATGATGACATACCCAACCTACTTGGTAATATTTTTCTCCTCCATCTTAACAAAGGGAAAACTGATTGGGAAGGACCCAACTGTGGCAGGAAAAGGTTAGATCTAACTGTGATGATCTATGGAGGATCGCCTAATATTCAGTCAAGTTTTCATGACTAGATTTTAGAAACTGAGGAACAGAGGGTAAAATATGGGGAAGAACACATCTCTCTACTGAGTGCACTGAAAGAAGTCATGCATGTTTACAACATCTTCAATTAGAATTTTTCTTTCAAAGTGTTAAGAATTGTATCTCTATAAATACATATTAAACAAGAACTGTTTAAGGAGCTGTATTCCAGAAACTGCCTCACTGGAGTGTCTTACTGTCTGTCTGCTTGCATCCTCAATCTTAATCAAGGAAGCAATGTTTTAAAAAAATTCCTTTATTTTGCTGAGTCAGAACTTTTTGATGGTCTTGTTTTGTTTTTCTTTTTCATTTCACCACTCACAGAGAGAATCACCAGAGGCTGTGAAGCATCTTATTGATCTATTGATACTCTATGTGTTTCTCCTGTGTATCCTGCTTTTTAAAAAGTGGTACAGTGTTCATGGGAGTCACATTAACTTCCTCCTCACGTTAGATGGACAGGAAAAGGCCACAGCCCCTGGGGATATCTGTGTTTAGTACTTACATCCATTTCAAACAAAAGTTGGTAGGCAGGAAGAACAATAAAAAATTGCGGGAGGATGGAAAACACACACACAAAAAAAAGCCGTGAAGTTTCATAAAAGGAAGCAAGCAATAATTGATCAGTTTGCATCTATGAAAGAGAATGACAGGATTGGAAATGAGCCACACTTCATTTCTATTATTTTAAATCATACACCACTGCTGATATTTCAGTGTTTTTGACTTAAAAATTGCAACTCTATGAGTAAGCATAAAACTAAGAACTGGAAAAAATTTATCTAAAACTGAAACATATGGAAGGAAAAGACATCCCAGTGAACATACTCTTCCTCTGAGAAGCTTCACAAGTGGCATTAAAATCCCTACAGGCCTGGAAGTACCCAGGTCCAGTAGAGCCAGATAAGATGGCTTTCATACATGCCTAATGTCAAGAACAGCATATGCTGTATCGTTGCTGCAGCTTTTTGAGTTCTGTGGGGAGTTATAAAGGCTCATTGTCTCCACGGTGGGACACATAACATCCAGGGGAGGGAGAAAAATAAAACCATGCAAATGCATCATCTTCTGAAGAGCTTCAGTGAGAGGAAATGTAAAGTTCAATTTGCAACTCTGATGATTTGTAGGTCTCGAGCCAAGTTTACAGGGAATGAAGCCTTACTTCCCTCTATACTCTAAATCTTCTGAGTCTCAGCAGGGGTTGAAACAGTTTCATATGAAAAAAACCAGGGCAATTATTAGGCCCTTTGAACTGTACTGTGTAGGGCAATTCCAGTGGGATCATGTGTTTATAGGCAAATTAGTAGCTTCAATGGTTTACTGTTAAACTAACAAGTCATTAGAAAGGTCTGCCCCTCCAAGCACACTCTCTAAAGGTATTAATAAATTTTGATTCTCATTCAGAGAAATGCAGCAGCTGGTTCAAAGCAGTGGACCTGACCTCTCTGTTATACCTACCCTAAATGTAACTAAAGAGTAAAAACCATCAGTAATTACATTCTGTGGGTTTCACACTGTGGTATTCACTGCATATTCTCTTCTGTTCTACTTTTATTTTAGTCTTAGTTTATTTAGTTTTATTTATTTAATTTGATATTGACGATATTTGATTTTGTAAATATTTCTGAGGACCATGTGATGTGATGATACTTGTATACATTGTGTAATCATCAAATTGGGATAATTGGCATATCTACTATCTTAATTATTTATTATTTCTTTGTGGTGAGAACCTTTACCATCTTCCATTCCATGTAGTTTGAAGCATACAGTGTGTATGCTGGACTGGATGAGATACTCTTGCAACTGTCTAACTGTAACTTTTCATCCACTGATCAACATTTTCCCAGGCAATCCCACTCCTAGCTCTCCCCGGCTTCTGTTATACCAATCTACTTCCTAATTTTAGTATATGTGCTGCCAAAGTGAGCACCAATTCCACTTTCAGCTTCCAAAACATCAACTTTTTTAGATTACACGTGTGAGTGAGACCATGTGGTATTTGTCCTTTTATTCCTGGTTTATTTCACTCATTCAAATGTCCTTTAGGCTCATGCATGTTGTTGCCAATAACAGAATTTAATACTTTTTTATGACCATATAGTATCCAGTGTTAAGATACAGTTTTACGTAAAATTACTTTGCCAATTCATGAGAAGATACATTCTGACTTACACTCTTTAAAAACAGAGAATCACAAAATGAAGGGCTAGAGGGCTCTAGTTGCCTCAGGATTACTGATTCTCCCTTCTCAGGAAAAATTTTTCAGAACTTCATGAGGTGTACAAAACCAGAAAGCTTATCCAGGCGGGGTGATACTCGCCTGTAATCCCAGAATTTGGGAGGCTGAGTCACAAGGATTGTTGCAAGTTCAAGACCAACCTGGGCTAAAAAATGTACTCAAGGCCAGCTTGAACTGCATAGTTAGACTTTGTGTCAAAAAGACAAAAACTAACTATATATTTTTAAAAGTTACATTAGATTAGAGGAATAGACAGTGACATAGGGCCCTTCATGGGACCAACAGATTCCTGATTTGGGATTACTTACAAAGCAAGAGAACAATTCCTTTTTTTGTCTTCATAATCTTTCCTGTCTCTGCTTCTTAATTTTCTCTCCCTTTCTCTCCATCTCTTTTACCCACAATTCTTTTCTCACCATACATACTAGTATTTGTTGACTATTTTATTAGGGAAGGAATGATAAGGGAAGGGTGAGTCAAGGCTGAATATGCTAAAATGGCCAACGAACCTCAGACTGACTATAAACACATAAGGAATAGATTCTGCTCTAGTGACTATATTCCTAGGAGAAAAGCCTAATTGTTAGTGTATATTCTTGTCAAAGCTCTGATGACATGCTACTTTCATATATGTGTGTATTTTTTTTTAAACAGATGTATTCCCCAATTCAATCTTGGCTGCTGTAAAGACAGAAAGAAAGCACAGGGATTATTTCCTTTAGCATCCTAATGAAATATTTCATATGTTTTAACTTGAGATGGTTTTGTTTTGAAAAACACACTTCCTTCCTTTCCTTGTTTTCTAATTAAAAAGTATACTGTAAAAGGCGATCCACTAGGTCTCTCTCTTTTTTTCATTTTCTTGCCCAAGGGGTAGTCTAATAAAAACTGGATTCAAATCAACACACTAAATAATAAAAGAGGATTCAAACTAATACACTGAAATAACACATATAGCTGTTTGAAAAAAATAATACCAATGTAAGACTCTAATAGCCTGAATTAAATGTTGTCCAACAGGAAATGGCTAAACGGAGTTCTAAGATGGCTTCTCAATGAATAAATCCAAATTATTTATTGTTACAATGAAAGTAACCCGTGATGAATCTCTACCATGTTTCTATAGAAGCTGTGAGACTTTTGAAGATGAGACTCGTTAGAAGCTCTTTACAGTTCTTCCTAAGATAAAGAAAAATACCCCCCAAATAATTAAGGTGCGTTGAAACTTGTATAGCTGGTTTCCATTGCTTCATGAGGGCACTCTATTCAGAGGCGTAACCTTGTCAAATTCATCAGCGTACAAAGAAGCCTTCAGGTTCACGGATTCCTTCACATTCATTCTTTATATATTTATTATTTATATTCATCAATGCATAGAAGGATTAAATGCTTCAATATACAGAATATACTGTATTACCCACTCCTGAATTACTTCTGAGGTGAGAGGAAGGAAGAAAATGTCCTTCATAAATCGCATCATTATTCTGGCCCGAGGAAGATCCAATTTCAGCTCTTATAATGTTCTCTTCCTCCCTAAAGGATTGAAAACACCTCCCCATGCCATGGGGCGCTGAATTATAATAGTGCAAAAGGATGCAGCTGACAAGGAGCACAAATCCACGTCATCCAGGTAGCCAGGACAGAGAGCTGCAGCACCATGCAGCCATTCCCAGCTGTTCCCACCGCAGGTAAAGCAGGCAGCCAACACCACAGAGCTGGCAAGAAGCAAAGCTTGCTGTGGAGATCAGCAGTCAAGAACAAGGGCTTGAGTAGACACAAAGGCAACAGCTCATCATTCTCCGGGCTTAGTGAACGGGCCCAAGGAAAATGCAGACATTACAATACAGACAAGGGAGAACAAGAGCAACTGGACAGACAGACAAAGGAGGCCAAAACTGGAAAACATCCTCGTCTACATCACCAGTCTTCCAAAGAGGGAAGAACCCCTTGCACAAGTTCAAGTCTAATTTGTCAGTGAACACAGAGTCACCTACTTCTAAATCGCTTTCCAGAGCGCATGGTCTGTCAGTCTATAAATTCCTATGTCACTTTCATAAAGAGCTTATTGTACAGACTTTCCAGGCATCTTTAAATAAAGATACTGTTAGGGTTAGAAAGATATTCCAAAATGAAAGTCTCAAAAGTAAAGTTTCTCACTTTCTCCCGCCCTCTTATCTCCCAATTCCCTATCCCCACGGTGGTTACAGAAACAGCACTGCATTTTCCCCGAGCCAGTCATAAAGTCTAAAAATATTCCTACAGTCCCCCCCGCCACCTTTCATGCAACAGCCAGCTATAAAGAAATTAAGACCTTCATTCCAGAGGGGTCCTACCCTATACCCAGGAGGGAGAAATGCTACAACCTAGGGGTCAAGAAGAACCTGAAGCCAGATTCTGAAGTTTCCACCTCAGTCTGTTAGTATTAGATCATATCCTTTGTGTCTAACCATGTTTCTCTATGGATGCCTTTGTTTCATTGAATTCAAGTATAAAAACTAGGTTCACGTTGGGTTTTTGATCTTCAATATGAAGTCTCTTGTGTCACATAAAACTATGACCAAATAAATTTGTTATGCTTTTCTCTTGTTAATCTGTCTTTTGTTATAGGTCAGTGGTGGTGAATCTTTCATTTTCAGTGATACAAACAGCTCACTGAGGCACACATATGATAGGTTCACCACCACTGTTACAGGTATTTTAGTCATGACTTTTTATGATGAGCAAGAAAAGGGGTCACTTCCTACCCCCCACTTAGAATATGCAAGATGGAATCTGATAGTCACAGGAGTTAAAACCAGATTCTCATTTAAAAATGGATTTATTTCTACAGCAGGAAAATATTACTTTTTATTTATTAATAGCTAAAATAATATCTCACATAATAAAGCAGATAATAGCTATAAGATCTAATAAAGAAAAAAAGCAGAACTTACCAATAAAATCTAATTTACCCAGCGTGATGTCTGTCTGTGTGTGTGATATAACCTCAGTCAAATCCCTGTCATCTTGGATACCAGATCCAGAGGAAAGGACAAGGATGATGCTCCAACATTAAATATTTTTGTCTCTTACCCTCTTAAGAAGGACACCTTTATCCCCATGAAGACCTGGTTTCATTCCTTCAATCCTTAGGGATTATTAAGGACCATGAGCTACTTTGACTTGGAAGGAGCCATTGTCAGTCCTCCCCGCTAGACTAGGAAGTGCTCTCAGAGAAACAGTTCGCTTTAGTGCTCCCTGGGCCCTGGAGCCTCTGCTCTCCTGGTCAGCCAAAGGACACTGTACATCATGAATGCTGCTATTTTACTGCATTATCTTTATGACGTTTGAATATGGTTGAACTTTTCTACACAAATATTGGTTGTTACTGCTTAATTAAATTGTTTAGTGGGAGGATGTGGGACTGTCAGATGTGAAGTTACTGTTTTCATGGATAATGAGAGAACTCAACCTGCTATGGTTAAAGAAAGATAATAAATGACATTAAACTGACCATCTGGATGCCTACCATCATTACCCATGGGCCACAATAACAGTTAATCCCTCCAGGTACATCTTCCAGTTTATGCTGGAGGAGGTGAAGTGCAATCAATGAAAGTAGAGAGTGGGTGGAGAAGATAAAATGCACAAAGATTAAAATGGTGCCATTGTCCATTTATGACCTCATAATTTTACTAAGTCATTTAATGAAGAAATTGAATGCAAAACCCATATAATTCCATTTAAATGACCAAACCCACATGCAAACTCTGTGGCTTTATATAAGCTACAGGACTTATATCAGCTATTTACCACTTTATCGGTGATAGAATAATAGAAGCGGGTGTTGCTGTTGGGCTAAGTGGAATACACTCACTAAGCATTTTGTAAATCTATCACACTGTTCTATCAGTGATGTATTGTACCACTGTATTTGCCTTAGACCTAAGTTATGAAAAAACAAATCACAAACCTCCTGCCAAGCATCAGAGAGCGAGGTCTACATATCTTATGCTCTTTTAAAAATGTCTATTTATAAAAACAAACAAGCTTTCCACTGTACTTGGGAGCACTGTTTTTACATTAATCTGAAATGAAAAAAAACTTACAATTTTCCTGTAAGCAAATCAGGTTTCCATGTTCTAGTTCATTTACTCTTTAATATTTTCAAACCTTTGTGGGTTTGGAAACATTTCTTTTAAAAAAAAAACTGCTAGAATTTTAGGGATTATGCAATGAGTGATAAAAAAAAAGAAAAATGAGATGTAAGATTTTGTCTAGTACTTGAGACTGTTCACAGATCTCTTCTGGCGCTCCTCTTTGATCTAGGAATTCTTAAGCCCCAGCTGGTGCCAGCTTTCAGCATAGACTATAAATGGATTCACATACAGAAGAATGGAAGGCACTACCCTCCAGCCCTATTTCATATACTCATAGCTGAGGACTTTCCCTCATATTATCTGCTAGAACTTGAGCAGCCACTGACCCGATATACATGACCTACAACCCAGTAGCCCTTATCAAAAGGAGGTGCCTCTCTGAAGTGATGGAATCATAACTCTCTGAGCCAACTGTGAAGGACCCTGCAGCCAGCACTGGGACAAATAAAAGGTAAATGACAAACTTTCATTGAGAGAATGCAGACATGAATAAATAAAAGACTCTTAGGATGGCGACTGAGTTGCAGAAAACTGGCCGTACCACCAGGTAAGAGTTATGAGAGCATGGCAGGGATTCTTAGGCTTTCTCACTCTCTGACCTGAAAGCGTGGGGAAGGATTAGAACTGTAGAGACAGGGAGACTTCTCAGGGCCACAGGAGAAACCAGGTGGTTCTTCAGGCCTGTGACTGAGCACAGAGCTGGCATGGAGAAGGCAAAGGTCTAAGGATGTGTCTCGTATCATTCAGCTCATCTTACTTAGAGAACTACTTTTCAAAAGCAGAGTTAGAGCTTAGCCTAGCCCAAATAATACTGTATTGCAACTCATTTCTTGGTGGTCACACTATTTAAAGTCCCAATTTGATTAAAAAATGCCCGTGAAGACCTTAGGACCCACAGGACACTACTAAAAAGAGTACACGCTGCTTTTGAAAAGCAACTCAAACGTCAGGCCAATAGGTTTTTATGAAATGCAGTTTTCATGAGATACTTAAGTCAGATGTATAAAAGAACTACTGACTATAACATGTGCTCCAGAAAGGACTGTGTGGTTGACAGTGGATATCAGGCCGTCCATGGCTTTGGCAGATGATCACTGTTTTATGGGTATGCTTTGGTCTTTAGTGTTTTTGACCAGGCCATAAAAAAATAAGGGATTTTGTTTCCTTTCAAATTAAAAGAAAAACATATGGCATTTAACTTGAAATACACTGTATTATTACATCCATGCGATCCTGGGGGCTGTGACACAGCTGGGGACAGTTTTTTCCACATAAAGGTGCAGGTACCTCCAGCAATAAAGGTCACAGCAGGTGCTAGGCAGCAGTGAGTTCTTCTGTGTACTGTGTTGTGCTATCTCTGGTGTAGGCTGACTCTTTTTGTGATATTATTACAAGATGAAAACATGCAATAATAAAAATCTTACAATACTTGATAATGATTATTTATTGGTGTTTTATATGCATCCTCTCATTTAACCTCTGGAACCCTGGCCTGCTTTTACATAGATCTTATTATGGCACTCAGTTTACAGGGAGGAAAAGAACATGCTCAAAGGCATGCAACAGGCCTGGAGCTGGACCACAATCTCCTGAGTTCACAATGGCAGGACTATGCGTTGCTAATT